ATTAATCGCAAAAAGTCCCCGGCATGTAGTAGACATTCAACTAAATATTGGCTGAATAATTGGATTAATGAATTCTTCGATCTGTTGGTCATGAAGTTCAACAGACTAAATTCTGGAGCAGATTACTTAGGATCTGTCCGTTGGTACATCTTGGAAGGCACCGTTGTCTTCCCATTAATACCGTTAGAAATTATTAGTTCTAATAATAAATCGTACCGAATGGGCGTCTTATACTCTTCAAAGTGTTTTCCTGTTTGTAATTCTGCCCTAGTCTCATTTAGTACACTTACCAGTCATACGATTATTTAACCTTTGAAATGGAATGAAAAGAATTTATTTCTATTCCTTCACATACTTAAGTCTCTTAATTTAAGCGTTAAACTGACCTACCTTATCCCCTCTTGTGATAGCAGTTTGTGTTTATACATAGCTGCTAACGGAACAGCTCGCTTTTAGCAGATGTCCATAAATATCTGATGATTTATTATAACGATTTAGTGTAGTTTTCACTGACCTGCCAAGGTTTACTGAGCATTTGTAAGATGACGTATTTAAATCAGACTCATTTTTTTTAGCCCACAGCGTTATTTAGAAAGGAAATTTTAAAGATCCGTAAGAAATTAATAATATTTTTAAAGTAATTTTTTACTGTATTCAAATTTTTTCTTTAAATTACTGAAGGTTTCTGATTCATTTGAAAACGTATTTTTCTCTAGCTCTCAAGACTTTAATTTTATTAGATTCGTTATCTTTGTGCCCAAGAAGGGTTTTCTTATAGAAAACACACATATGCAATATGGTAATTTTTCCTCCAGGCTGGAAAAAAAAAAATTGGGATGTGCGGATGTGTTTGTTGTAACGAGATTGTCGTGTTGGCACAAAAAAATAACGCTCCGTCTTCCTCCTCCCTCATTCACACCACCGACCCCCAGAATGGTCTCTTCGGAGGTTTTTAAAAGAATTGACTCTTTCTTTTAAAATGACGTGAGAATCTTGAAATTTAATTAGCATCCTCCTCAGAGTTTTGGTAGACTGGTCGCCATTAAATATTTATGTAACATATGCCTAGACCAGTGAAGGGGCTGGAACGCTGATTCAGAGCACAACTTGTTTGGGGTTTTTAGATTGAATGCCAGACGCACCGACGTGAAGAACCAGAGCTGGGAAACTGTGAAAAGCATACGGTTTTCATCTCTTAGAGGAAAAATAGTTTCCAATTGATCTACTGGCTGTATATTCAAGTTTAATCTGTGAAGCCGATCAGAACAGATTCTTTGTATTTTTTGTAAAGAAGGTTGCCATCAAGTATATTCTTTATATTTTATTGCATGTTTAAAATATTCGTTTTATATTTAATTGTATTTTAGAGATTGAGTAGTGAACATTCATGTTCGTCCAATAATTTTGCTGACTGAAGTACATTTAAAATAACAGGTAATTTCTTTAAATGGACTCAACTTCCTATTAAAATGGTTATTTGCAGGTAAAAACCCTTTGAAAAACCTAGTGACATCAGTATCAACAAGAGGAAGCAGGAAGTTTTGTCACTTAAAAAAGTTTCTGTTGTAACCTGTCACACCATTTTAGGGTCATGTCAGAAGGATGAACAAGATCCAGTTCTTGCAATTATTGATGATTTAGAGGAAATAATATTATTGATCAAGAGAATTATATTTCTTCTTATTTAAATCAATTTTATCTATAATTTGTAATAGAATTATGGAATCCATGCTATGGAACTGCATCTATGAATTTTTTTGAGATTTTTGCATGTTTAGTTCCAAGTTTTAATTTTCACTTTGGGAATAAAAAGCAAAATATTAAGATTTATATAACAAGCATCATCTTAAAGCGCTTTTCATTTCTTTTAAAAATCTACTTTCGACCTAATTTTAAGTTCTATCTATAGCACTTCGATCGTTATTAACCGTGTTACTTGTCATTAGTTACAACACTGAACTAATTCTTTGAAATCTTAGGTCTTCCGGTTACCTAAAGATACACATTTACTAAATGATGTGGGCAGCTATTAATCAAGCAACAAGTCACAAGACATTATAAAGTCATAGCTTTTCCAACAGATAATATTTTTTCGTTCAAAACGATTTCTATGCAACGGTAGCTAAGAACGTTTGGTGTTACTTACTATGGAATGCTGCAGAGTTATTAGAGTGATACGTGACCATGAACCAAATCTATTTGAGAAGAAAAAGCTGTTATTTAGTCAAAAATAGAAAAAGGAGTTGAGAAAACTGTTGCCTTTAGCATTCCTCGCCATTAATTCTACTTCTCAGCTCCTTCCTGAGTGTCTGTATTTACGTGTGTATATATAGAATACGTGTGTGTTCATGAAATCCATCTTTTATTTTAAGAGCCAACATCGCCATTAAGTATGCACGCCGATAAGTGTCTGGCTGTCGCTGACGGAGTTGTTTGCAAAAGCAGTGATAACACGTGGCATTTAACCAAGTGATTAATTTCTATTGGCTCAAATCACTAGTTTGATGACAAAGCAGCTACTCATCCTTGAAAATGCACAATCAGTAAATAGTTTGGGATTTATCTCTTTTTAGACTTGAACTGCTCCACTCAAGCTAAAATAGATGGATTATTTCCAGTAAACACAAAATTGAAAACCTTTTAAAAAGTCCTGTAGTCTTAATCTTTTAAAGCAAATTAAGTCCTTTAAAAGGATGTCTTCGTTTGTTCTAGTTGTCAGTAATATATTACTTTAAATTTATCATTCTGCTTCACTTCAATTTATTTTCAGAATGATACTTAGTCCATCAAATTCGATCACTTTAGTTTGATTTACAATGCCATGTTGAAAATGTCTGCAAGTCAAATTTTGCAAGTATTTTAAACTGCTTTACTCAGAAATTAGCCAGGTATTACATAAGATGCCAACATTATGTTACTACTTTTCATCTAAAAATGAAATGAATAGATCTATACGTTATAATTATTTAACTCTAAAACCATGTAAAGTATGTGACCTTTAGCATAGTTTCAGTGTATGCGGTCTTTCAGCAAACATTCACTCGCTGCAGACATTTTTCTAGGTATCGAAGATGCATACACGAGAAAGGCAGCATCCTTCCTTCAGGGAGCTCAGAAATTAATAGAAAAGCTGATGATAATGGGCAAAAAATGGACTTATTATTTAACATTTAATCTGTGCCTACTATATAGGCACTTCCTATTATTTTAATTAACTCTCACAAAACCCCATCAGGTGTTTATCATGATTCCCATTTTACGGACAGAAAACAGAATCGCAGAGGTGGCAGGTCACCCGAGATCACCACACTAAGTGGCAGAGTCGTGATGCAGGCCTGTCCCCCTGCAGGCTCCATGCTCATTTTCATTTGTCCTGTTGGAAACTTGTGCACGCCAAGCATAACGAGGATACAAAAATGAGTAATCTACGCTCCCTGCCCTCAGAGAGTTGTAATTTTTATGAGAGCAGCTCATACTCTTAAACAAAAACAAAAACAAAACTCGCAATTATATCCTTTTAGGCTATGTCTGTTTAAACTTGTCTTACCACATTTTTGGGTCAGAACCATTCCGTGATAATGAAAAGGCGGTTAAACCACATTTTGAACAGGAATGTCGATTCACTCGCCATTCTTTCTTAATCTTGGTCCGTAAGCGCTTTCTGTCTCCAGGTCGTACAACTGATGTAAGTTACTGCTATTAACTATTGTACGTTGCTGCCTGTGGGGTCCCGTCCCGTAAGGTTCCTCTCAACTGGTTTGTCCACTAACCGTTTAGAGAACTAGGGTAGAGTGAGAAATTTTCAAAAGTCAGACGACTTTATTTTATTTCAGCTAAATTTTAAATCTACAGGGTGGAAAAATTTGTGACCAGGATTCATTAATCCCGGGATGGAAATGAACGTCTTGTGCTAACCCCCGAATCTTCGAGTCCGCCCTCCACACAGGTTTTAAATCTTTCCTGTGTCGCCCGCTGCCCCTCGTGAAGGGAGCCTTAAAGATGCGTCCCTTTCTCATGATGGGGACACCTCAGGACACTCGGGATGTTTTTCATAATCCGAGAGAGACTGCACATCAACAAAATAAAATAGCTCACTGGTCTCCACCTGGGCTTGGTCACAAGACAGTCACCGAGGGATAGTTTTCCAAATGCGGTGCCTGCAGCTCAGGATTCTGCTGTGCCGTGTGTGCGGGAACGGGGCGGGACAGGCGGAGCAGAGGACGGGGACACGCTCCAGGGGCTCGGCGTTTTGGGAGGGGTCTGCGGGCACCTTCGACAGCGGCCGTTTCCCACTCCGGCCTCTTCTTTCAGAAAGCTGAAAAATAGTGTCACGAGAAACCTGACACCAGCCCCGGTGGCCACGACCACACGTGGCCCACACGTGGCCCGTCACCGCGGCGCTGGTCCGTCGGCCGGTGCTCCTGCAGGAGCCAGGGAGCCGCACTTAGCTCCCCCTGAAATGCTTAGAATGACCTAGTGCTCTCGCATCCTTCTGGATGTCATAGTTTAGATGAGGGTTGTGTTGTTTGTTTGTTTGCTTGTTTGTTTGTTTGCGTGAGGACAAAGTCAACCTCGCTAGTAGTAGAGTCCAACACTTCCCGGGCGCTTGCCGCGGCAGAGACTGCGCTAAGTGCATTTAATTTAAGGTGTGCAGCGACACCAGGAGGCAGACGCTGGCGACACGGGCCCGGTGCGGGAGGTCACAGCCCCTGGGCGCAAGGCCGGGCACCGAGCAAGCTGTCCTGGGTCCACTACTGCATTTCACGTTTCTCAAGGAAGTTAAGAGTCTGTGCTGTGAACATTTAGGACGTAACCGGTCAGCAACTGGGTACTGAGCACCTGCTGTTTCCGCCGACTGAGAATTTTCTTGTCACGTGTATGTGTGGACACATTTGTGTGCAACTTATATTCACATGAGTGTCCGCTATTCATAGTATCTTGGCTATCAGTAAAAATGTAATCCCATGAAAATGAACATATCCGACGCGTTCTAATTTCAGTTCATCGATGGCCGACTGGCAAAGCTGAACGCAGGAAGGGGCTTCTCCGATGTCTTCGAAGAAGAGATCACTTCCGGCGGCTTTTCTGGAGGTAAACCAATTCCAGTGTGACCTTCTGTTTTCCGAATGCCCATTAACTTGATCTCTGCACCTGCGTCTGATGTAAGCTGCTCCATAAACAGCTTCTTTCTCCTAAACGTGCAATGTCTTAGATACATTTTTTCACCTTCTGAGAGCTATGGCATTAACTTACGTTGCCCGATATCGGTCGTCCAGGGCGTTAGGGGGTCTCCTGAGCTGGTCGTTGTTCGCTTGGATGCCTTCTTACTGTTATTACTGGACATAAGTATCATGGAAATGCGATTAGTTTCTATCTTCCTGCCTCTCTTTCTGATTAGTATTCTCTGCTAGAAAACAACTCATGATGGCTGCTACCAGAACCGAGATTATAGTTGGAATAGTAGATTGTAACATAATCCAAAAAGAAAGGTTTGAAGGCCACGACTGCTTCCGTGTTTTTAAGAAAGTGTGTTTATTCTAGCGGTCTTCACTTTTTCTTTTTTGCTCTGTGGGTCAGTGCAGCCTTAGGAAAAGATGGTCTTACATCTGTCATTGTGAAAGGCACCCCCTTAAAATAATCGAAGGAATCATATTATTTCATATGTGTGAAGCATCCATCAGGCAGTACCCCATTTTTATTTAATATAATTAACTTTAATATAATTAAACAATTCCATTGTTTCAAATGTAAATATTCATACGATGTTATAATTATCGAGGCAATTAGTGACATATCGACCGATATTTTGCACATCAGAATATAGTCCTGACTCTGGCAGAGGATTTTGTTAGAGTCTTTGAATTGTCCTATTCATTCATTCATTCATTCATTCATTCATTTAACTCTGGCAGAGGATTTTGTTAGTCTTTGAATTGCCCTATTCATTCATTCATTCATTCATTCATTCACCTGGTATTTGCTGAGTATATATTATATACAAGGCACTGTTCTAGATGAAGGGTGAACTAAACAAACACAAATCAGGTACTACTAAGTGCTCATCTTCACAGTTCCCCAAATTTAATTTTATTCCTAACTAAGATTTATTTTTACACCATAAAAATATAAGACATTGAGGCAATTCATTCATTAAACGAGGTACAAATGAGCTGAGGTGGATGTCGTCTGAGGTGAGTGTAGCGTTTCCTTGAAAGCCCTCGGCTTGGAGAAAAACTTGGTCGACTCGACTCAGCGAGTAGGCTGAGTGTGGGGTCTTTCAGCTCCTTGCTTTCCTCAGCTCATGGGTAAAAATTTTAAGTTTTAGTTTCAATGGAACTTTTGTGTGAAAATAAGGCTTTTTTGCTTTTCAACTCAGACAAGCAAAATATTGTCAGCTCATAGACAAATTGCTTGAGGCATCTACTTGGTATTTACATAACTGCTGTCTCATTATCTTTATGACCTGTGGGGTTAGTATCTTCTGCGGAATTGAAGATGACATCTCGTGACAGTAATGGAGGAGAACTATGATCCTTTCGTATAGTTAAACTCCACAGTCTTAACCATTGGTTAAGATTAATTAACTATTGGTCCAGATTCCTCTAGCAGAGTAGAAGGTAGGCGGCTTTTCTGGTGGGAGGTGGGGTAGGGTCACTAAAAATTTCCCCTCTAGGTCTTATTGTCTGAAAAAAAAAAAGAATGTTGATCACCGGTTGGCATCTGACTTACAGACTGCTGCCTTTCAGGACAACTTAACACCAACCACTTCCGTTGTTTTTCCTCAAAATGAAAAAGGTTTTGAATTCTTATCTTAATGGGGGGAAGGCAGTCATGACCCTAAAGGAAAGCAGAATTCAGCCAGTATTAATTTTCGTAGGTTTAGCAAGAAAGTACATTAAAAAATCATGCCTGGCCGTCAGGTGTCATTTTTTTTAATTATTCTATTTTAGGTTAGTATCCTAGAGATATGTAGAGATCATTTGTAGAAGAAAATAAAGCAAAATTCATTATGACTTGAAACAAAAGGAAGAATAACCTAATAAAAATTAATAACGATCTTGTAAGTGAGGATGTATATATACGGTTTCAAAATAGCTCCTAGAGGCCAGCCCCTAACATTTGTCACCCAGACAGCATTTGCAAGAAAGCAGAACATGTCGAACCGTTTGTTCTTCTTAGAAGTAACCCGTTAAAATAACTTTGTTGTTTCTTTCATAGTTACAGTGATAATTCTAATAACTCTTCACACTTACTGAATATCGATCGGTGTGGTAGAAGCTCTCATGAGAGCTCTACAAACACTATCTCATTTAATCCTCACAGCACCCCAAGAGAGACTTGGTTCACCTCATTTTCACGAGGGCAGTTACGTCAGTATTTCACTCAAGGTCACACAGCGAACCTCTGGACCTAACGTACGGCTGCTTGGCCTCGAAGCTCTCGCTTCAATAACCATGACACCTGACTTTCTTAGGGGACGGGGTCTTCTTAATCAGAAGACTTTCAGGACACATTTGCAGTGCTCGAGCTGCTCTACTCTGATTGGATAAAAGTAAAACTCCTGTCTCTTTTGAGTGTCTGTTGGAGATTATTTTCCACACACAAAGGCCTCAGAAAGATCACTGTAGGAGAAATCGGCATTCGCTAAAATGAAAGAAAAAATACGTTCCTTTAAGCAAAAATAATTAGGAAATTTCGGAAAAGCATCCACCATCGCCCCTTTCTATAACGTTGTCCTGGCAACTTGATTCCTACTGTATTTGTTGCTAATACACACGGTGATAATAAAATGAAGGGGACTCTGGTGGCCTTTAGGATTATAGTGGCTCTGATTCAGAATGGACCGTGCAGGACCGTCACACACAGGACGTGTAATTCACATTAGGTGAACACAAACACAGGTCTACAAAAATGCAGCTAAGCAACGTTGAGTAATGAAGACCCTTTTTTTTTTTTCCCTAAAATTTTTTATTTAAATCCGCTTCCTAGTAACTTTGAAAAGGAGAAGCATTTTCAGGTTGGTGCTCTGGACGTGTGTGCTCACTCTCCAGGAACAGCGTCTGTTTCTTCATTAGTTTTTTGATATAATCTCATCGGTCTTATATTTACTTAATTCTAAGCATTTTCAGTTTTTTACTGACTTAAGGTAGCAAAGGAATCGGAAGCGGTGGTAGGTAATCGTCAGTTTCAGTGATATTCTTCTGGCCTCACTGAACAATTTAGAATAATCTACTTTTTTGGATAGGTAACTACAAATTACTGGAATTTAAACAAATACGTTTTAGCAGTCTTTGGGCAGGTGAGAAAGATATTTTGTCCTGGGGTGTGAGAAAATCGTTCGTTTGATTAACAAGACAATATGAAGAATTTCCCCAATAATGCTTATTATTCTCATAATCCGGTAGTTTAATAGAAGGACTCAGGGATTTTTTCTTTTTCTTTTTTGGCATTCAGATTCATTTTTAAGAAGAAAAAGAGCCTTTAAAAAAATGTTTTCAAAGAATAATGCTCTTGTCTCATAAATGTTGTAGAAATGAAAACCTTCAATCTTATAAACTTAAAGAGACAGGTACCCTTTAAGCATTTTTTGACAGGAGTCTACCTAAAGGGTACCACGTGTTTCCCGTCCCTCTTAAGCAGTTTATTTAGGGGCTTCCTGGTTGATCCTGCACTGCAAAGCTCCAGATTGCTAGTGGTGATTATCTGACTCAACTGTTTCTTCTCGAGGTATGGGCGTTGAGCAGCCCCTTTTCCTGTTACTTTGCAATTATACGGAAGAACTCTGTATATCACTTAAGGTTCATCACATTTTATTCAGCAGTCTGAAGAGGTAGAATTTCAGAGTGGAAGGACCAAGAATGAACCAAGAATTAAAATACCGAGATTTGCTATCTTAATGAACTTGGGCAAATAAGGGGTCACTTCAGAAACTCACTGTCTTCATTCGGCAGGTTATTTATAATAATAACCATCACTTACAGTGTCTATGATGTGACAGGGACTGTACCGGCCAGATTGAGGTCCGAGTCCCAAATCACACCGCTCACAGCATATGATGGGGCCTGAACTCAGATCCCCTGGACACCAAAGCCACTTCCTTCTCCCCGGACTGTGCTACCCGTGACAATGCCTGCTTTGCCATTTTTTAAAGCAGAAAAAGTACAAGTCAGTGTAACGTAGGTAAAAATATTTTGTGAGCTGTAAAGAGCAGAGTATGAGCTGAGTGTGATCTTATATGTCAGTCATACCCCAATAAACGGAAAAGGAGGAGGAGATGATCCGTTTTAGCGATTCTTGGTACCAAACAGTCTCTGAGTAGCTGTCGGGACTTTGTTTTTGAAGCATTTTAACCCACCAAGAAGGTAGATCAACTCTAAGCAAAGTCAGTTGATGGAAAACATAAGCTTAGATTAGTTGCGTGGCTCTATTTTTATTTGTCACCTTCTGATATAATCCGATTGACAAAATTACCGTGTGGGGAGATGAATGTACGGTTATCAGTTTCATGAGAGCTGGTTTCGTCAACATCC